AATGCATAGGAATACATCGAATTATAGCTAAATTGTTCATATTATTCATGAACAAATAGACAGACACATTTCTTGTTTGTTTTCTTTAGGGTAAATCTCATCTGCAAACAATCAATAAAGATATTGTTACACTAAAGTGTTTAAAAAACAATCAAAGATTTTCTTTCACTATTTCAAGAAATAAATGATTATTTATATGTTGTTAGTGGAAAACCTCCACATAAACTTAATATTAATAATGAACAAGGATTTAATGAACATCGAATATTAATTACAAATGATTGTTATACATGGATGAAATTAATTAAATAACTTACCAAAAAATACATCCTAACATAATCATTTTACCAATTTTTGGTTCAATTGGTAAACGTGCTAAAATTTTTCCTAATGGAGTTAATTCATCATTTTCATCAATTGCTTGCATTTCGAAATTTATGAATTCGTGGTTTTTTTTATTATAATAAATATTTACGTTTCAAAGTAAATTCCGCTTCATCAACAGCGTCCATAGGTGGTTGTTTAATAGCTTTAGATAAAAATGCTTTAATATCACCTAATTTTAAAAGTTTAATGGCTAATGCAAGTTCATGTAATGGTGTACAAAATACTTCAGGTCATAAATAATTTTCTAAACGTTCATAACGTGCTTTTGATCATAAAGAAAAACAACAACCAGATCTTGTACGACCACATCTTTGTGTTAAATTTGTTTTTGATGGCCAAACAGTAACATAATTCGTGATATTATTATGTGATGAAAATAATTTTTGTTTAACATTACAACTATCAATAACATAAACAACATCATCTATTGTAACACTTGATTCAGCTATATTTGTTGATAAAATTATTTTTTTAACACCAGATAGTACACGTTCAAATACACGATGTTGTTCTTCACATGGAATTTGAGAATATAATCGAAGAAATAGAAATCCAGCTGAACCTATAACATATCAAATATATTATTTATATTTCAAAAACAAATAAATTTTACCAAATCTTGGATGTTGTTGAAAATATTTAAGTAATACTTGAATTAAATTCCAATCAGGTACAAATACTAAAATAGCTTCATCATTACCCAAACTGCAGATATATGTTATTAATGCGTTTAAAGAAAATTTTGTTTTTATTTTATTTTTACCTTGAATTAATTGAAATGAAAGAGACTTTTCACTTAATTGACTGATTGCTGATGCTGTTTGAGGGGAATATTTGTTGATCACAAATTGCATTACAATTAATATCCTTTTTTATTTATTAAAAAGAAAAATTGTTAATATATTTTTTCTTAAATAAAAACCCCCAACCTCTTTATCATCAGCTTGTGAATCTTCATAACCTAAATCATCATCATCCTCATCATCTAGTCAGTGACGATTTTTATTATTTTATTTTCGACTTGTTGTTGAATTTACTATTTGAAAATTAAGTAATTGAATTATATCTTCACGAAAATATTCTTTCACATCAAATGTTCGTCCTTCAATTTCTATTATCCAACAATAAAAAAAATATTGACGAAATAAAGTTACATAAATTGTTGCTAAAAAAAGAAAACAAATTATTTTTCATTTTTTCAAATTTTGTATCATACCAGACATTAAAATAACTTTCTAATTGTGTATAAGCATTAAGCGTATCACCAAGTAAAACCAATAAAAAATCTGTATTTATATCATGTTCATCTGTGCAAATTAAATTATCTATTCTTTAAATCAAAATAATTCTTATAAAGTAATTAGTTATTTTAATTATTGACTCAATCAATACTTTTTTTCGAAGCTTCACGAATTACTGTTTTGTATAACTCGTTTATATATACAACCTTGACACTTTTAAGAACAGAGACAGTGTAGAAAATAACGTTATCACAAGTACTTATACCATTCTAGAACATTTTATTGATGATTATATCGAGCAAAACGTATTAAAAAAGCTGTTAGGTTAATCCCTGCAGAATGAAAATGTGAAACATAATGGAGCTGTGTATATTGTAAATGAGGGGACTCTGAAGCATATGTTTCGGTTCATCATCAATTCTAACGTACTGTTAATATATGCCCGCAGTGAAAAATGTTAATTATGATATATTACACAGTGAATTTTTGGAAGAGGAATATAGACAGATATTTTAAATCTAATTGCCTTTCATAATAATCCAGCCGCATACTTCACTTTCATGGCTATATTCATCTCGATCTGTGGGAAGAGGGCGTCGCTAAGGCGTCTACGATAGTGTCTTAGTCATGTTTGTCACGGTGTGTAACGAGAGAGAGCTGCTAAGATGTCTGTCACGTCTGTAGGGCGCAAATTTCTACTCTTATATACTTCAACATTCCTTTTAAATCGTGTTTCACAAAAGACTGTTATTAAATATCGTTCAACGTACTTCGATTCAAGAGTTTCTAAGACGAAGATCGAATGAATATATAACGGTCTTTTAGCTCAAAATACGCTTTGAACCTTCATTTTCCCTAACATTTCATAATACTGGTAAGTTCTTATTTCGATGGAACTTTTTTGTTAAAAATTAAATAAGAAATTATCTAGAATAATTCTTCTTATATAAAATAAAAACTTACGAATTTCATCTACAATAACATGTGATATTCCTCTGAAACCACTTTCAACTTTTCTTAAAAGAACATTAATAGCACAAAAAAGCAATGAACCACAAGGTCAAAGTAAAATTGATTCAAAACGAACCGAGTTTTACTAGTTCGGTTCGGTTTCGGTTTCTGTTACCCGAATCTTCACAACATTCTAAATGATTCAGAAAATTGGATTTAAAAAAAATAAAATAAAATCTAAGAAAACAAATCTCAAGAATCACGTTCATCAATAGAAATGGGACTTATACGATGTGATTGAGTAACAACAATATTACAATAAGCACCTTGATTATATTAAATAGCATCGTCAATTAAATATTAAGAAATCTCAAGAAAATTTTCATTGAAAGAAATTCTTCTTCTTTGATATTCGAATTACTTGTGTTGTTTTTCAAATCTCTTGAAATGGTTGTGAAGATTTTAATAATTGTCTTATCAGTTTAAATAGTTTAAATAAGAATTATATTCAATATAATTAGGAATCAAATTCATTTAAATTCTTTCGATTGAAATAATCAATTTAAAATAGAATAATTGAAAAATGAAACATATTTTTTTAAATAAAAATGTTAAAAGGAATTTAATCGGATAGAAAGATTTTAAAATTCTTTCGAATAATGTTGTTGGATGTCATCATTATCATTATTTGTTATATTAACAATTCATTCAGTTTATTTATATAATCCAACAAAATCAATTGGAAATCTTCCTTTAAAAGTTGAATCAATAAAACCATTAGATCGAACACATGTATTAGCATCATTATCACCAGTCGATAGGGATTTATATATAAATTATCCTAAAGGTGTTCATATCGATCATTATCGTGTAACAGCAGCTTCGGAATGGATATTAGAAAAAAGATGTTCAAAAAGTGAATGTTCGAAAACTAAAGATATTGGAATTCGTGATGTTCGATGTGATTCTCAACATATTTGTTTATCAATAATGTGACATGATGATTTAAAATGGAGATTAGATTTAATGTCACGTGATATGGTTCGAGTAGGACGAGGAGTTCCAATGGATTCAGGAGAAAATCAACATAAATTTTTTTCAATGCTTATTCCAATACAAGATGAACGTTGATTATTCATTAATTGGTTTACAAATCAACTTTGGATTGTTGATCAACAAGGAAAAACAAGATTAATTAAAGAAACTAAAATTAAAAACATTCGAAATATTTCACTTTCAACTGAGTCATCATATATGGCTATTATAACTGAAAAACCATCGGCTCTTAAAATATATAAACTTGAATAATCTCTATCTAAGTGTTTTTTCACTGGATCTATTCAATTATTGTAAATCTAAAACTAAACATAATTAAGATTTATTTCTCGATTTATTTGTTGAAAAATTGATTTCGTTGAAGTAAAATTGAATGAAAAAAAAAAGAAAACCAGAATCTAGTTTGAAATTTTCTGTAAGAACTTTTGTTTGATTTAATTATTTTTAAATGAAAATCATAATTAATTGTTTGAATGGTTTTATTTTCTAATCATCTAAATAAATATCTTAATATTCAACGAAAACAAAAAAGTCTTTGACTTCAATTTTCAAGTTTAACAAGAGTTTATAGAAGAGTGTGGAGTGTAGATATTAATATTCGTCTAATCTATGTTCAAATTCATAACAACTGTTTTGAATATTTTAAATTGATTGAAATGAGAACATTCCATCTTGATTGAACTTTCAATTTGAAATTTGAAATTTTTTTCATGAGCTGATTGATCTCAAGTATTATTTCTCGATTCAATTTGTTTGTTGAAATACTCGTAAACATTTCAATAAATCTCATTAAAATATGATGTGAAACCATGAGCGATACTAAAATATTTAAAGTTTCATATTTTATTATTGTATAGTTGTCATTTTATATTTTTTACCGAACCAGACGAAAGAGAAAACCATTTGAAGTGCTACAAAATATTGATCTTTGATTTGATTCCCGCATAAATTCAATACGAAATGTTCGTATTGACTTTGGTTCAATGTTGCATGTACTTCTGGGGCTCAGAAAGACCTAAGAATACGAGAGAATGTCTATCATTTCTCAGCTTATTATTTTGCTGAATATCGTGCCTATAAATCAAGAACAGAAAAGTTCTTCTACATAGAATATTCATCTATCTTTTGATATCAGACGAAACTTTTTCAAAATTGTCTCTTCATTAGAAATTTTATCTTATATCTAACTTACAACACTAATATAATATTAATTATTTCTATTTGAATAATCCACGAGTAGTGGCGGCGCCAGGGGTGGGCCAGGGTGGGCTCAGCCCATCCTGATTTACATCGAGCCCACCCTGAGAGATTTTGAAAGCTATGTAAAAAGAACACTTTGTGTAGGTTAGGGTGGGCT